TCCATAAGCAAGTGCTACAACTTCACAGTCTTCTGGGTTTGCTGCCATAATGATTCCCTCCAGTCTGGATGCTGCCTGAGCCACCGTGCTGCACAGGCAGTGTTTGAAGAGTGGATGGGGCACAGCTGTGCAGTCCCCCAGACACCTGAGTTCAGAATATTTTTGCATTTTAGTTTATTTCTGAGTTCCATGGAAAGCTGGAAGCTCCCCAAGTCTCTCTTGGGTTTGGCTTCCTGTTCACATGTTTTGTGGTCTCATGTCATTGTGCATGAAGTAATCGTCCCACATGCGTGCACCGTCACAATGGCAAGATTCGTGCGGTTCAACGCAAGTTTTCTAACGAGGACATTTTGGACTTTCCAACAACTCCTTAGGGAAAGCAGTTTGGAACTAGTTATTTATTACTTAAGAAGGCTAAGGGAGCAAGGACAGAAAGCACTTCTGCAGCAAGACTAAAGCCATTTGTAGGAGACAATTAAAGTACAACTGCCTAAGAAAAATAAACTTTTACCTTACACATCTGTCTAAATGTATATATGTGTACAGCATAGAAAAATACGTCCAGTTCACAGTTTAAAAATATCAGTTACTGTTTCAGCATTTCACTCTGAATGGTGCTAGTGTTTTCCACTGAGGACTGTTATTTTAGTGACATTTTTCTGCAGCAAAATCTGATGAGTTTACGAAGTTTGAGAGCCAGGAAATGCAGCTCAGTTTCTGAACAACTGAGAAAGCCAAGAGAATTAAGTGCAATCATCTACTTGCTTTATGGCATGGATTCGTAAGTGCTAAGTGCAATAACACTAATATAGAGAGTGCAGCCAAACCAAACTTTTCAAGTACAGCTCTTAAACCATCAAGCTTAACTTCCCACCATATTATCAGCAGGTGAAATTCTGGCACACACCCACACTTAGTTATGGATGGTAATGTCAAATCAGTGGGCATACGTGCCAAAGTTTTATAGAATTTTAGAGCAGGAAGGGATTTGGAGGTCTTCCATTCTTTTATTTTACCAACAGAGAAACTGAGACTCATAAACTCTCTCTCCCTCCCTCTCTCTCTCTTTCTTTCTCTGAACACATACACACTTCTGAGTTTTGTGCTGAGTCATTGCTTACAGAAAATGTCATAGCTTTGGCTTAAGGAAAAGGCAAATGATCCAGGGCTAGGCCAGTGGTCCCCTGTTCTGTTCCAGTTTGTGTGGCCCAGCTTCAGGGCTGTGGGCCTGCAATTTACCCTTGCTTCAAGAACCATTCAGGGTCTCAAGTACATATTTTTGGCCAAAACTTCAATAAACTCCAGAACCAACCAAGGATCACTATGTGACTAGGTCCTGACTATCCAGGGATGCTCAGTCAGTTCAAGGTCGTTACTGGGGCCCCATTACGATGGAAGGGTAAGATGCAGACAGAGCCTGTGTGGTAAAACCATCACACCTTAAGACTTTCCCAGAGAGACGAGACCTTGGCTGTGTAGGCAGCAGAGGCTATGTAACTAAATGCTGTATCGTGCGGCACAGATTTTAAGTGTTGCAGGACTTCTAGTGAGAGAAGTCAAGAAAAATGGAGGATGCCAGGATATGGGACTTAAGCTGATCGCAGAAAAGTGCTTAAAATTTGCATATGTGGGGGAAGTAATGGTAGTTTTTTTAAGGTAAAGAACAGCAGAAATGAACGTTTGAAGAGGATCCCATGTGTGGGACCCCGAGGAAGCCAGGCTGACCGGTGCTCCCCGACAGCATTTCCCAGCCCGATCAGTAGGCCACGGAGCCTCCAGCATTGACTTACATTGTTATCTACTAAAATGTTACTGAAATAAGTACCCCAAAAACCTAGGTATAAATCACTTGAATTATATTTATATACTATAAATCCACAGTAATAATATTAATATATTCAGATCATTGAAAATCCAAAATAAATTGCTAATTAAATAAAAACAAAACCATAAATGAATAATATTTTAAGGAATATTAATTACTTTCCAGATGATGCCTGTTTTATTTAAACTAAAGAATAAATTTGTTTTAACCAAGTGTTCCTTAATGAAATTCTTAAAAAGATATATTTTAATAAAAATTTCTATTTGCCATTTAGTACTCTGCCCATTTATAATGCATTTTCACAAGCTGGAGCTCATAAAGGAGGAAAGATCCAGGCAATACATCTGCTGGGGTTGAGATTGTGGATCTGAGAACTGCGGTGGCTCAGTCATCCTATCATCTTCATAAAACTTCATACAGCACAGCAGGAAGTATTTGACTCTTACGAGTGTACACATATCAAGCAGGCATTTAGGCTGCCTCTGTTCTTTCTTTAATAGCCTATAGCAACTTAATTATTACATTATTCTTCCATCCCTTGTTACAATGATAAATCAAAGTCTCTGTTTATACAATTTATGAAAACTCTAGTCTCATTCCATGAAAATGTCTTTTGATTGCAAATAACCACTATGGCGGAAGTTGTATCATTATTATTGGCTAAAAAAAATTCGATCCAAGTAATAAATATTGCCAGTATTTATCGAATGCTTATCATGGGCCACAAACTCTTCTAAACTTTTTTACATGGATGTTTGCATATAATCCTCATCAACCCTATTAGGTAGATACTGCATTTAATCTCCATTTTTTCAGAGGAAGATACTGAAGCACAGAGAAATTTACTCATTCAGGGCCATGTAGCCAATAAATGCTGTAGCATGAAATTCAGGCATCTAATTCCAGAGTCTTCTGGTTCCTGTAGAAGTTCCAGAATAATCGCAGAGAGTTGTTATTTTAACATTAGGCTATGCCAGCTTGACTGTTACCGAACAAAAGAACCCGTGGTGGGGGGTGCCCAGATGCTATTACCAAAACAACGACACCCTCCTTCCCCGGGATCCCTCGGTTGTTGGTCCTTTGCCCACCGCCCTTGGAATTATGGCTCTGAATGGCAGAGTTTGGTGAAAAGGAAAGGAACTATTTATTCAAAAGTTTTACAGGTTTGATTAATGGCTAAATGTCACCCTTAAACTTCAAAGTCCCTTCAAAACAATCACCAGCACACACACCTTCCTGCCTTCCCCCGCACTTGCCCAGTCAGGCCAGTCAGCGTACTGTCCTTCAGAAGAACAAGAACAGAAGTCCGGGGCTCAGCTAGGCAGGCCTCTTGCGGGTCTCAGCACCATCCACTGCGTCGCCGTGATCTCCAGCTCTTAATCCATAACCATGTGGCACCTTCTCATGGCCCACTAGCAAGGGTCCTTTCTCCCCTCTTTCTTCCTGCATGGTCTTCACACTGTTCCCGAGTCTGTGTCCCTTTGTCTCTCCTGCAGGCCCCCGTCTCTCTTTTCTCTCCCAGCTACATTCTGTATTAAGTCTTTTAAACCTTCCTGATTAGCTTTGGTGATATGCAAAATAATCCTCTTTGCAAATGAGGAACGAAGCTATCCTGTTATTGACAAACAAACTGACTTCTCAATGGCCCTGCTCAAGGCTCCCATCCACAATGGCGACCCGCCCTGCGGTGGGGAGAATATCTTTTTCTTGGACACCCCAATCTCTGGACCCCGTTACAAAATACCCTTTGGTGGGTCCCTGGCTATGCCCCGTTACATGACCACAGCCAGATGCTACAGCTTCACATTCAAATGTATACTTTCACTTCAGGAGATCACAAAGTACCATGCATGAGTATAAATATGGGCATTTATATGTCCTCCTGGAACATGTTTAAAAAGTGGACATCTATGTATAAATTCTTATAATAATTTGTAATACTATCAAAGACATGTAAATAGAAAATATAAACATTCTAGAACTCATCCACTCCCAAGAGAGAAGCACAGTGGAGTGATCAAAGGGCCGGCCGGGTTGGGTGTGCCAGATTACTGAGGTGGCGTAAGTGGGTGGAGGAGTTGAACTTCTGCTGGGAATGGAAAGAGATGTGATAAGGGTGACGTGGGAGGGAGAGTCCTGCAGCAACAGGGCAGCGCCAGGGGGGCCCAGCTGCAGCAAGCTTCCCATAAGAGGGAAACTTCTAGAACAGAGGGAGGGACTTGGAACTACCCACATTTATCCTGAATCACCAGGGCCAGTTCAGAACAAGAGGAGATTCCATGGCTATTGTGTTGAGGGAAATAATCTCCACCCACTACCTCCGAGATTCCCCTCTCTCTATTCTGTACACCAACATACAATTGCAGTCACTGGTGCAATTTCAGGTAAAAAGTTCCAAATGAATGCCTTAATATTTACATGGGCAAGAGAAGTATTTTTAAATGTAAAGGGTAATTTGAGTTGTTAGTGCTTGTCATTTTCCTATTCTTCTATCTTATAAGATATATATTATATATCTTATATTTTCTCTTATATCTCATATATCCACACTTATATATAATGTGTGCATGTTAAACTGTGCTATTCATGGCAGCAACACTTAATACATTAAAATAGGTGTTTCTTATTCAAAATATCTAAGTTGATTTCAGGCACTTAAATTTTTCAGCTGCGTAAATGCAGAACAGAAACAAACTTAACCACTTGTAAATGCTTACTTTGCCATTTATCAAATGATAGCTTGCAGCAGCTTTAGAAGATTTTGATTCAGCACATTTCCCTTTAAAATAGTCTCGTAACCTAAAATGAGACATCATTCAACTTTTAACCCTGAAACACTTTGTAAACTTTTAAAAAGAAACTCTTCTTTATTGGTTTTATGAAATCCAGTCAAAGAAATATGAAATGAATCTAATGGAAAGTCTTTCCCTTGAGGAGGTAGTCAAATGGAAATTTCTACAAAAGGACTAAATTATCCCCAAAGCTTCAAAGTCTCTGGTGAGTGACTGTAAAAAAGTCAGTCTGGATGAAATTTGGAGAATATTTTTCCTAATAATGCCCTCCTTTTAAGTTGTGAAAGGGCAACGTCTGAGAGATAAGAGAAATCACTGGTAAAACATTGGTAAAATCACTGATAAAACATGATTGACGGCCCTTTCGCATTCCTCCGTTGCAGGTGCTGACGGCCAGCCCCCGTCATCTGAAGAAGGTGAATTTGGCAAATGACATGCCGGTTTTCCAGGACAGAGTAATTGCTGAAAACCTTCAAAGGTACTCATATCAAATATTTATCTCTTGATTAATTGAACCAAGGCACTAATTAAACCTGCGCACTCCATGTCCCTTGATGAGCAGAACGGTCACGGATGGAAAATTCCTAAGAAACTGAGGAGTCCTCCCCCTTTCTGTGGTGTCATCCTTCTTGGGTGAAAGCGAAGGCCTTAAATGTGGCAGAGTGATTTCATGAAATTAGTCTTTAGGAATGGGAAAAGAACCCTCTGAAAAATAGGTATCTAAAGAATCATATAACTCTATTAACGTGCCAGGAGCTGTTCAGGAAACTCAGGGGAATTAGAGGGACAGTGAATGGCAGGCCAGCTACACCCAGTCATCCACAGACTCAGAAGTCAAAATTGTGCAGCTGTCCCTTGTCTTCTTCACGGCTTGTCCTCACAGTTCCTTGCCCTGGCCATGTAAATATTCGTGCCAAGACTGCTGTGGGGCCAAGGAGAGTTATGGAGACCCAGCTTCGCAATACAACACTGATTGCAAAAACATTCTCAGTGATGTTGATTCGCGTGAGTTTATACCCCCACAAATCTTTTCTCAAATGTTAACATTGAAAGTAGTTCCCTTCTACCTCCAACCAAAATTAACGCAATGAAAACTGTTGAGTTCCTCTTGATTTTTATTTGCAGCTCTTCAAAATCTTTGCCCTTTGTTTGATTTCATTTAAACCTTGCACTGGCCCTGGCTGGTGTGGCTCAGTTGGTTGGGCATAATCTGGTAAACTGAAAGGTTGGGGATTCAATTCCTGGTCAGGCCACATGCATAGGTTGAGGGTTCATCCCTGTTTGGGTATGTAGGAGAGGCAACTGGTCCATGTTTCTCTTCCTCTCTGCTCTCTGATAGCCAACAGGTTATAGTTCAATTCTCAGGTAGGGAAGCATGCCTAGGTTTTGGGTTCAATCTCTGATCCAGGCATGTGTGATCCCTGGTCCGGCATATGTGGGAGGCAGCCAATAGGTGCTTCTCTCTCTCCCTCTCTCCCTTCCTCTCTCTAAGGGTAATGAGAAAAATGTCCTCACGTGAGGATTAAAAAAAAAAAAAAAATTAAACCTTGTATGGGCCCAGCTTGGCTTCAAAAAAGTCTTTATCACTAAAAAGTTAAGGAACCTAACACAACAAAATGAAGTCTTCAACAAGTCTGGCCTTAATTTTAGGTTTGTCTTTTCAGGATTTATCCAGTTTTCCTTTCTAATACTTACATAATTAAACATTTTGTCTTCAAACTACAAATGGCAAGTGAATATGAGAAGTGGCTGGAAGTACATGGGAAACTGCATATAGTTCCTTGACATAAAATCATGATCACGGGCAGTTACTCCATAATTCTCAGAGCTTTGTCTGCAGGTGGTTTGGGGAATCACCAGTTATGTATTGGAGGCTGGTTGTTCAATCAAGAGTGAGAGAAGACACATTGAAGTTTAGGGCTCCTTACTTGAAAACTCTAAACAGGGGAGAAATTCCAAAACAGAAACTAAAAAAGATACCTGATTAATAATAAGTTCAATACACAGTAGAACTGTGACTTCTAAGTGTTCTTTCCTCATCTTCTGGAGTCAGTTTTCCAAAGCTTTTCATTGTGAACCTCTAGTCCATCACATCACTTTTTCAGTAGGAAAGAAAGAAGGCGGCCTTCAGGATCGCGCCATTCAACATGAACTATAGAAGAGTCTGGAAAACCCTTAGAACTGGAGCTCTCCTGTATTTTCCTGAGAGGTCCCTGAAGACCTGATTTCTCAGTGTCATCTGTCTTAGCTTCTTCTGTGTATGGAGAGGCTACTTCTTTGGGATGCCATGTTGTTTATTATCTTGCCAGCAATCTTTCATTTCACTCTTTGCTTCCTTCAGTGGGTCACTTCACCACTTTAAAGATGATGTCCTTTTCATTTCACAGCACGTTCTTATTATGAGAAAATAGAAATGTGTTTAATATTGGATCAAGTTAGAATCTCTTGTTCAGAGTTAACATACATGACACTATTTTTCTTAAAAATCCATGGACTTCCTGTGAAAGCAGGCTCTAGTCTGCTTTTTCTGCCTTTGGACTGGGAAATTCAAAGTCAAACAAGCTGCCCGCATCAGAAATTCCTGCCCCTCCTCATCCATCATTTGAGAAGGATTAGATTGGTAGCTGAGTCACTTCCCACCACCTCACTCTACTCGTAGATCTACAATTCACCCACTGGATAAATTCTGTCAAAAGAAACCGGTCCTTTCTCTGTGTGCTCTGACAGTCAGGTTTATAAAGTAGGGACCACTTTAATGGCCCTTAGGGTTTCAAAACGCTGCCCTGGGCATTTTTGATTGCCTGTCTGCTCGTGTCATCTGGGTAATAAAGTCCTTTCATTTAATATTTTTCCAGCTTTAAAAACTGCTTACCTGCAGTTCATTGCACTTGGCCTCACCTCCAAAATACATAATGCAAGAAACAGAACCAGGAGATGTTATAAGCAAATCCCAGAAGCTGCCCCAGCATCTCCTGACTGTTCAGTTGCCAGAAGATACTCTCCTGTTCCAAGCAGACATAAGCTGTATTCACATATAATAAGACACCAAAAGGACAATTAAATTTCACAGCTTGGGGGAGATTTTGAGGGTTCTTGTCAAAAATGTTCACACCTGTGGAACAGACTGCTATTTTTGTGGAGCCTAGTTTTTGGCTTGAGATACACCTGCCAAAATCTGAATGGCTGCCATTGTACCTTCTGGACTCAAACACTGCCCTGTCAGACAAGGTTTGGTGTGCACAGATGGATAACTTAGAACAGCAACTATGTTGTTTGTAAGGAAATTAAGATGTTTCCTAGCCTTGTTCATGCCTACTTGGGATGGAAAATTTTATCATAAGCCCTTCTTAGCTGTGTCTCTCTGACATATATATATATATATATATATATGTCAGACATATATATATGTCAAAAATATATATATATTTACTGTCACTTCAATTATTTAAAGTTATACTCAATACATTAATTTTCATTTAAGTGATGTTTTAAAAATAGTCCATAGACTATAATACTAAACTAAATCTTGTCAAAGAATCCATTTCAGATGTGGACCCTAAAAACTGCTAAAATTATCTTCATCTTGGTATCTAGTGAGCATTAAAAAACCTTGCCGTGAAATATAAGGAGCTGAGTTGGGGTGCAAGGAAGCAAACTCTAAACTTTGTGATCATTTCTCATTGAAGATGGCAATTTATTACAGAGAATTTTAATGTTAAAAAATATATTTGCTGTAAAAAGATATATCTACCTAATATGTCATTATTTAAGAGTTCAAAAAACGACGCACACTTAAACCAAGCTTAATAAGTCTTTCTTATATGATTATATGTTATGTGGATTCATAGAAAATTGCTGCTATTTGACTATTTTTGACCTGCAAAAGCAGCAGTTTCATATGGTACCACCTAATATTTTAAAAAATTATAGTCTTGGAGGAAGTACAATTTTATTCTGATTTGTTTTACTTACTTTTATATCAAAACTGTGTAATTTCTGCATTGTGTACATAGTTCATAATTTAGATTCATACATCATGTTCACAAGGGATACGGAGCATACACATTGATGTGGGACATAATAATTGATTTTGCTTTCTTCCTATAAAAGGTAACATAAAATTCTCCACAATCAGTACCTTTCTTCACATAACCATTCTGTTTGGTTGTTTTTTAAATGCCAGTTTTTAAACTAATACCTTTTCCTACATCCTCCTTTCATCCCTCTGAAACTAAATACTTTCCCATGTGAGTCTGCTTACAAACCCAAGCACTAAAGCGTTTGTGTGCACAAGCATACGGCACTGCACACAAGTGTGGACATAGTTCAATGGGTCTGCTTAGACAATACATCCACAAAGCCGACCAGTTCATGTTTAAAGAAAATACCAAACTCCAATGGGACGAGAAGCATTGTCCCTGTCAGGCTGTGCGCCTCTTCAGCTGGATCCTCTCCACTCTCATCTGACTGAGACCTGTCCCCACAGATGGCCCGCTCAGGATGCTTCGGCTGCCAGTAGAGCAGTGCTTTGTCTCATATGACGAGGAAGCAGACCAATCAGAAGAAAACTCTTTGCTCTGGCCATAATGTTATATTCAGGCAGGAAGTTAAGAGGAAAATAGCCATTTCCCTGGGGATGAAGGGTGGGAAGAGGGAGGGAGAGAGTGAGCAGTTTAACTATGATGAGGGTGGGTGCTGGGGGACTGGGACAGTCACAAGTGGAGATCAAGAAAAAATAATGGGATGATGTCATTCTTTACTGGGACAGTCGCTGAAATGAAATCAGGTCACACACAATGGTCTTGTTCTATGCCCAGAACCGTAAGTGTTACAAGGGATTACTTTGTATTGTACTACTGCTTTTTAGGAAGTGTGTAAGGACCTGCTCACATTAAAGTAGCCCCAAGACATTTTTAGGAAGCCTGCGAAGGGCAGAATTATTTCATCCAGGCTGAAATGGCCTACCCTAGGCTCACAGCATTTGTTTAAGGTCCCTAAGCCACAGTTTAGGAGAGGAAAAGTGTCTGGATTTCTACAACAGTGAATTTCAAGAAGCAGAATGCAATTATACAACATGATATCAGGCCAGATATTTTAAATTGGTGCTTTTTTTTACAGAATAATTTTGAATGGCAATCCGAAATTAAGACAGAATATATTTATCAATATAAAGTTGGCACTTCCTGAAAAAAAAAATAGTCTTGTACCAAGTGAGGGCATTTTTAGGACTGATTAATTCTGCCTGCAGAGGAAGCATTTGATCTGTGTTGATCTTGAGTTCCCAGAGCTGCTGTGGGCAGATATATTCAATTTTAGGTTTCCTCTCTTAGTGGTGTCCTAGTTTAACCTCATTCATCTACTCAGATTTCACAAGAGGTCATCACCATTACAAATGAAGTTTAGATTTTCTAAGAAGTTATTCCCGGAATAATTAGGTGATAGGCTCAAATCCTGTTATTAAGATTCTGTTGTTTCTGT